GCTCCTGCCGGCAGCCTTCCCCACCAGAGGGTGTCTGCTGGGGTGGCGAAGGGGGAAGCGAGGCTCTCCTGGAGTTTGTGGGAGTGGGGGTTGCGTTGTGTGTGTGTGTGTGTGTTTTTTTTAAGGGGGGTGGGGTGGGTTAGAAGAGAGTCTGTGGTTTCCATGGAGATGAAGCTGAAAGTGCAGGAAATTTAAAGGCTTTGGGTCCTTGCAAAGCAGACAAACTGGTGCCAACGTGCGTGGCTGCTGTTGCTGCTGAGGAGGCTGCTTTGCAAACGGCAGAGAGGAACGGGGAGGAAGAATCGGCAGCAACTTCTTCCATACGGACGGGCAGACAACGAGGAGCAGAAGCGGCAAACAGAGTTTGCAACAAAAAGAGGCATCTGCCTTTCCTGGGGAAGGTGAAAAGAAGCGGCAGCAGCAGAATTTTGGAGCGGCTCCACCAGGACGAATTTTATAGAGAAGCTTGCAAGAGAGAGCATTTGCAGGGGGCTTGTTCTCCTGGCTTATTAGGGGGCTGTCTTTGCTGGTGGTGCGGGGAGTGGAGGTGATCCCCCTTAAAGACAAGCTATTTTGGATATCCCCGTACAAGTTTTCTGATGTATTTGCTTGCACCTTCTTCCCCTGCTGTTTGGTGAACCCAGCCCCCCTCCCCCCCCCCCACCGATCTCCCAAGGATGGATCATTCCCAGTGCCTTGTGACTATATACGCCGTGGTGGTTCTGCTGGGTCTCCGGCTAGAGCAAGGCGCCTGCCAGCACTATCTGCACATCCGTCCGGCTCCCAGCGACAACTTGCCCTTGGTGGATCTAATCGAGCACCCGGACCCTATCTTTGACCCCAAGGAGAAGGATCTTAACGAGACCTTGCTCAGGAACCTCATGGGCGGACACTTCGACCCTAACTTTATGGCTATTTCCTTGCCCGAGGACCGGCTAGGAGTAGACGATCTGGCCGAGCTGGACTTGCTGCTCAGGCAGAGACCCTCGGGAGCGATGCCCAGCGAAATCAAAGGGCTGGAGTTTTACGACGGGCTGCAGCCGGGCAAGAAGCACAGGCTAAGCAAGAAGCTGCGCAGGAAGCTGCAGATGTGGCTCTGGTCCCAGACCTTCTGCCCGGTCCTATACACGTGGAACGATCTCGGCAGCCGCTTTTGGCCCCGGTATGTCAAAGTGGGCAGCTGCTACAGTAAAAGGTCTTGTTCAGTCCCAGAAGGCATGGTTTGCAAACCTGCCAAGTCCGTGCATTTAACGATCCTGAGGTGGAGGTGCCAGCGCCGGGGAGGGCAGAGGTGCACGTGGATACCCATCCAGTACCCCATCATTTCGGAGTGCAAGTGCTCCTGCTAGGACTTGCACTTACCTTTTCTGCCCCCTCTCTAGCGGACTCACGTGGACCTTTGCTGCAACAAAAATAAAAGACATTTGCTTTCTGGTTAACGTTGTAATGCACTGTAACGTGTAGGAGAATGTATATTGTGTGTATATATGGCACCGTTTTAATATACTATTAAAAGGTCAGTATTATACGTGAAATAATCAGCGTCTACTGTATTTTTAAGACTATTACCCTGATCGTTGCTAATGTATCTTTTTTTTTTTTTTGGTATTTATATTCCAGAGAGAAGTTGCTTCGCTTTGGCGAAGTTGTTTTTTGTTGTTTTTTTTAATAAAATGATTAAAAAATAAAAACCAAACTTTTTGATAAGAAAACGTTTTAAAGCTTTTTTCCATTCTTCGGAAAGTGTGTGTGTGGGTTTTTTTTCTTATTCCTTATGGACTTTAGATTAAAAAAAACGCCTAGAGCACAATGTTATTGTAAATAGAGAGAACAGTTTGAATGACTTAATCCTATGTAAATGAAGAGTATCTGCTATTTATTCTTTATATCCTTGTAGTAAAAGTGCAGTGCAGAATTAAAGTCAACCACTAAAACACGAGCCGTTTGGATTCTGTTTGGTTTTTGGTTTGGCCACCTTCGGGGGGGCTTTCTTCTCTCTCCTCCTTGTACTCCTTGCTCAGCAGGACGTTTCTTGGTGGCCGGGGGAGGTGGGAACCTGCTCATGACTGTGTTAGAGGGGAATCTTTGGCACCTACACTGCAAAAATGCGTAGGGGATCCGGCTTTGCGTGCGGGGCTCCCCGCTTGCTCAGCCCTATGGGATCCCCCCCCCCCTTAGAGCCGCTTCCCTACTGCTGCCGCTTTCGCAGGGCGAGCTCGGTGGCAGCTGGTTTGGGATTTTTTTGTAACTGCTTGACATTTCATAAACAACGGGACACGTGTCTTTCACACCTACCATTGTGGTGGGACACTGCTGAAACTTGACCCTTGGGCTTTGGGGGTTTTTAGCGCAGCCACGTTATTAGCCTGATCCTATGACAGCCTCGCACACCCTCCCGGACCGGCTAACAGTTATCCCGGCAGCCCAGTTAACT